CTCTCTCTGCCTGCCTCTCTGCCTACTTGTGATCTCTGCCTGTCAAATAAATAAATAAAATCTTTAAAAAAAAAGACAATTCCAAATAAATTGTCGAAAAGTTATGAGTGTTGAGTGTAAGTAATAAATGCCTAAATTTGCAATAAAGAAGTAATGAACGAATGTCTTTTTTTTTTTTTGAAAGAATTTATTTTATTAAAGAAAACTGATGGAATGAGGCACAAGAAGGTGATCTCCCTGGGTGCCCCGAGAGGAAGCAAGCTGGCTGTGTCCTGCTTCGGAGGCCCTGCTATGCCCAGAACCCTCTCTCCCAGCAGGCAGGCCTTCACCCACCCCCCCAGGGGACGGGCCGGCTGGGATGCTTCTCTGCTGGGCAGCGGGCTGACTGCTTGGAGAATATTCAAACCCCAGAATCTTGGAGGCAGGCAGGGCTTCAGATTCCATCATGTTCTACTCCCTCATTTGCAAAGTTTAAACTGGCTTCTACTTACCAGATAAATGCCTCTTCGCTATATAAAATTTTGGATAATATTTTAAAATTAGAGAAACAGTATCATTTATTCCATGACCCAGACACAAACACTTTAAACATTAGGGCAGGATGCCTGGGTGGCTCAGTCGGTTAAATCTGCCTTCAGCTCAGGTCATGATCTTGGGGTACTGGGTTCAAGCCCCGCATCGGGCTCCCTGCTCAGTGGGGAGTCAGCTTTTCCCTCTGCTCCTCCCCTCCTCTTGTGGCCAAGCTCGCTTTCTCTTTCTCTCTTGTAAAAATAAATAAATGATATCTTAAAAAAAAAAATTAGAGCATGTTCCCTTTGACTGTTTCTTTTTTTTTAGTTCATTTATTCTTGAAATGCTATCCTGACTTTTTAAATTTATTTATTTTTAATTTATTATTATTTATTATATATTTATTATTATATATATTATTTATTATATATTTATTATATATTATTTTTATTTATTATTATTATTTATTTATTTATTTGACAGACAGAGATCACAAGTAGGCAGAGAGGCAGGCAGAGAGAGAGGGGGAAGCAGGCTCCCCGCTGAGCAGAGAGCCTGACACGGGGCTCGATCCCAGGACCCTGGATCACGACCCGAGCCGAAGGCAGAGGCCTCAACCCACTGGGCCACCCAGGCGCCCCTATCCTGACTTTTTTACATTAACCCTATACAATGAGGATTTCCCCAAATCAATACGATTCTTTCATAAGCATTATTTCTAATGGGTGTGTGGCATGCCGTGGTACATTTGCCTTAGAAACACCTAATAACAGGACAGTTTGCCTCCGCTGCCCAGGCCAGATACAAATCATATTTATGGCACAATATGGCAAATACACTAAAAACACTGAATTTTATTTTTAAAGATTTTATTCATTTCCTGTCAGCAAGAACACAAGCAGGGGGAGCGGCAGGCAGAGCAGGCAGAGGGAGAAGCAGGCTCCTCACGGAGTAGGGAGCCCGATGTGGGGCTCGATCCCAGGACCCCAAGATCATGACCTGAGCTGAAGGCAGATTTAACCGACTGAGCCCTCCGGCTCACTACCCGAGTCAAAGGCAGACACCTAACCAGCTGAGCCACCCAGGTGTCCCTAAATTCTGTACTTTTTAAATAGGTGAATTGCACAGTATGTGAATTATATCTCAATAAAATCTTTTCCCCCAAAGATTTTATTTATTTGAGATAGAGCACGAGTGAGTGAGAGAGAGAGAGAGAGCATGGGGGGGGGCGGTAAGTAGGCTCTCCACTGCGTAGGGAGCCCAACACAGGGCCTGACCCCAGGACCCTGGCATCATGACCTGAACCGAAAGCAGACGCTTAACCGACTGAACCACCCAGGCGCCTGAGTGGGTTAAACCTTTTTAAAAAATTAAGAAGAGGAGTAAGCAGGGGCACAGAACTACATGGAGGATTCATAAGAGTCTTACCTCTGCTTTTGTGTATGTTTCGAATTTTCTAGAATAAAATGTTGGATACAGTATTTCCTAGAATTCTCAGAGGTGCTTATCTTGGTGTTCTCTGGCCCCCTGCAGTTCATGGACTCAGAGTAGACTCTGTCCTCTAGATGGGGTGGGGTGGGGCGGGGCTGTTTCACACACAGCCCTGGCCAGTGCTGGCCACTGTGGCCATCTTTCTACTCCACTGACCGCTCTGCCCCACTCATGGGCTACTGGACTAAACTCTGCCACTGCGCCAAAAGTGGGCTTCTGCCAGGGCTATGAGCCCCTCCCCGCCCCCTCCTCCACACCACTGACATCTCACGTGTCCTCCCCTCCACCCAATAGGGAGTCACCTTCTACCTGCCACCACCAGAGAGCAGCTGGGATCCCAGTGCCGCAGCCCTGGCCTCTCCGTCTCAGCCCATCCCACACTCTCCATTGGGAAGAGCTCAGACACGGCTTCATACACCACCCAGGCCCCCTGGCTCTCTCACTTCCTGATCCAGCGGCTTTTTCTACCGGCCCATCTTCCCACCTCACCGTGCTTTCTGGCTCTCTGTCCCGCCAGCCATCTTCCAGAAACTTCTGCCTAAGCTCTAAGAAGTTCAGGCTCTAAGTGACACTGAATTCCTTCCCACGTGGCACCTGAGCCCCAAGCAAATCCAGGGACCTCTGTATCTGAGCACTTGTGTCCAGTCCCTGGAGGTTTGCCAAGCCCTAAAAAGCCCTGGAGAGGTTCTGGAACTCGGCAACATTTAGGAAGTGGGTCCAGCCAGTTAGGTGGTTTTGCCTGATGTCTCACACCTGTGTGGTCCCTGACTCAGCCCCCACCCAGAGCTGTAGATGGGGCTTTTGGCGTCTGGGAGAGAAGACTGGAGGAGGAACCGAAGTCAGGCGGGGACAAACAGGGCTGGAGAGGGGGAAGGGCTCCATAGGACACATAACAGAAGCAGAATCGCCAGGACTTGGGGACCAGGTGGATTTAAGTAAGGGTTAAGGAGATTTCCAGGTTGGGGCACCAGGTGAAAGGTAATTTCCTTAGCCGGGGTAAAAGGTAAAAGAAGAGCGAATGCAGGTGTGATTGCTGAAACAGAAGGCCTGCGGGGGGGGTGGAGGCCCAGAGCTGGAAACTGAGGCCTAGAGTTGGGGTGAGTCGGGGGGAGTCCCTGCCAAGCCAGAGAAACCTCGCTCAGAGGCGTCCTTCTGAGACAGGGTGACCACAGGGCCCAGTCCTGGTTTGCACCCGCTGTCCTAGAGTCTGGTTTATGTTTATTGCTCTGCGGAGCCCCTTCTACACTCTCAGAGTGTCCTCCTTTGGATCACAGCTGATGGGGTCGCTCTACTCCGGAGAGCCTGCGGGACAGGGAAAGACAAAGGGACTCAGGCTCCTTTCAGCCACTGGCTTCTTACCACCTCCTCATCCTCCTGCCTCCCACCCTCCATGCCTGCCTTAGACACCTATATTTTCTCTTTGCTCTGCCTTCCTCTTGGCCACTTCCCAGGGAGAAAACTCATCCCCACCCCCACAGACCATCTGGGTTACCCCAAGTCACAACTGCAGGCGCTGAAGGAAGAGCAAGGCCAAGGGCCAGCTGCTCAGGTCCTTGGGTGGAAACGGGCTCAGCTGGGCTAGGGGCGGTTCTGGTTATGGAGTCAGGACTGGAGGGCCGGGCCTCCCAGTCACTTTCCTGCTTTGCTATCTTGGAGCCGGGCCCTTCTGCTCTTGGAGTTGCCCCTGCTGTCCTTTGCAAAAGATGGAACAGGTGACCTGAAATCTCTGCACTGCGAAGTTGTTATCTTCCCTGGCGCCACCGCTCACGGGGTTCAGGTCACACGATGTGGGAGGTCAGTCCCCTGGAAGAGAGGGCTTGCATGCACGTGTGTGGGGCTCTCCCTGGCTTGGGAGGCTTAAGACTAGAGTCCGTGGAGCCCTTTAAGGACCCACCTAAGGGCTAAGGCCTGCTTCTCCGCGGCCCGCAGACCCTCGGCAGGCGTGCACGGGTCCCTGCTCACCTGCAGGAGGCGCCGCAGACACACGGAGGGCCAAGGAGGTCCTCCCGCAGCGCCGCCCTGCTGAAGACACCGCGGCTTCTGGGAAGGGCTTCTTCCCACGAGGAGCTCCTGCGCGGGAGCCACGTGGGGTCGCAAGGAGGAGGCGCGGACAGCAAAAAAGGAAGAGCCCCTTAAGGGAATGGGAAAGAGGACCATGAGAGCGAGACCTGAAGCTCCGGTCCCCAGCTCGAACCTCGGTCGGCTCACGCGGAGAACCGGAGCGGGTGTGCGTGGCGTGCTGTGTGTGTGCCGGAGTCCCCCGGCCCATGGGACTCGGGAGAATCGGTTACAGGGCGCTGGGAGCTCGCAAGTGTCCCTTAGTGGGGGCTCAGGGGGCGAGTACCGGGGAAGGCGGTAGGTTTTGTAGTCAAACCGGGGTACAAGCCGAGCTGCCACTTGACCTCTCTGAGCCTCAGTCTGCTCATCAGTAAAATGGGGTTAACGAGGCGGCCTCGTCGTGTGAAGCCGGAGGTGATGGAGGCCAGGGAGGCCGAGAGCGCAGCTGCCCTATTCCGGGCAGAAGCTTCGGGAAGCCGAGCAGGACCGGGGCGGGGTAGGCTGCGGCGGCACGAGGGGGCGAGGAGAGGCGCGGCTCCCGGAGAGGAAAGGGGGTCCAGACGCACTCGGTGTGATAGAGGAGGCTGTCCCCCGCCCCGGAGATGCCGCCGAGAGTTTTCCTATTCGTTCTGGGCGCCCGCCTGGGTCCTCGGCCCTGAGCTGTCACCTGGACGCCCGGGGAGGGGGCCTGGCGCGCCCCCTCCGGGCGGAGAGGCGGGACGTGGCGGCGGGCGCGGGCCGGGGGGGGTGGGGCGAGGGCCGGGGGGCGGGGGCAGGCGCCCCGCTGGGAGGCCGGCCACGTGACTCCCGCTGCCCGGGTCGGGCCGCCAGGCGGGGAGCGCCGCGGCGGCCCCAGGAGGTGGCGGCGGGCGCGCGAGCCCGGGCCGCGCGGGACTGGCCGTCGGGGGTCCCGGGACGGCGGCCCCGGGGGCTCCCATGCCATGGAGAAGCTGGCGGCCGGGCTGGCCGGCCTGCGCTGGAGCATGGGCGCCTTCCCGCTCGACCTAATCGTCAGCCGCTGCCGCCTGCCCACGCTCGCCTGCCTCGGGCCAGGTACCGGGGCGCTGGGAAGGGCGGCCGGGGGGTCCGCGGGGACATCGGAGACTCTCCGGACAGGTGCGGGGGAGGGAACCGTGAGGATGTGGCCCCTGCCCTCCCGCTCCCGGCGCCGGTCCCGCGCAGCTCCGGGTGCGCCTTCCCTGGAGACCGGGAGCCCGAGAGCCGAGGGTCCGCCGCCTTCTGGGCCCCGCGCACGGGCACCGGGACAGAAACCCAGGACAGGCACTGAGGCCGGGCCGGGACAGAGTTTTCTGGGCCAGATAGAACCCGAAGCGTGGCGGAGGCCCCGTGCCCGCCCCGTCGGTGCATCCCTTTCGCTGCTGCTCTCAGACCCCCCGCCCGGGCCGCGCCCCCTCTGTCCCTTTGTCTCCCGTCTCTCACCTCTATCCTCCTGCATCCCTTGGGCCTCGGTCTCTGTCTTCCCACCGCCGCCGCCCCCAGCCCTGCTTGGCCCCTCTTGGGTCCCTTCTTGCACCTTCCTTTCGTGTCCTGGGGAGCTGTGTGCGGCCCCAGGCGGGCAGGCCACCTGGGGGAGAGACCCGAATGATTGGCCCTCCCGCCGGGCGTGCCCCTGGGTCCCCGGCCCTCCCCCACGTCTTGCTCCACTTCCCAGAGGCCCGGGTGCTCCGCTGATGGGACTGTGTGTGGGGGCCCGAAAGGGGACTCCTGGAGGCTGCACGGAATGAGGGGACCGTTTGGAGGAAGGGGAGCTGCTCGGCTGGAGGAGGGGCGGGAGCCGGGGCTGGCAGCCAGGCCGGGGGTTTTGTGTGTGAGAAGAATAGGGGTTTGGCCCGCGTTGGCACACTCGCTTCCCTGAATGCTAATGGGGCCCGCGGCCACAGGCTCCTCTCCTCTCCATGGGGCCCGCAGCCCCTCCTCCGACCCGCAGCCGCAAGGAGTAGGCACTGTGAGCATCAGCCTGTTTCTTGGGCGCGCTCCGTGGCGGCATCGGGGCTGGGGCCGTCGCCGTTGGACAGAGGTGCTCAGCAGCCCAAAGTCTTGTTCTCTGGGTCATCAACGTGTGATCCCGAGACCCTCCGTGTCAGCATCAAGGCTGTATGTGTCTGCCTGTGAATGGGCTAAGCGGGCCCTCGGTTCTGCCTGGCCACTTCCCACACATCCTCTTTGGCACAACTCCCTCCTGGGGGTCTTTTCTGAGCTCCCCAGTCTGGGCAGGCCTCTTTGGGACTCCCATGACCCCTCTGGCACCCTTGCCTTGAGTCCTGTACTCTGGTTGTCATAGTTTATTGTCCTAAGGCTGGGCTGCAGCCTCCTGGAAGGAAGACATCCTACCGAGTAAAGATTATGGACTTACCCAATGGATAAGTGAATGGTCTGGGTGTCTGTGACTGTGGTGGCTGTCGCTGTGGTCACCATGAGTGTGACTATGTGAACAAAAGTGTGTCTTGAAGTCTTAAAGGTCCTTGAATGTCTATGCATTTGGGAAAGTCCCCTTTGTGGGGCTGTGGGACTGAGTTGTGTCAGTGGGGTGACGAGCTCCTGTCACTGGCCCAGGTGGCTGCACTGGCTCAACTGTTGGGGACCACGACCCATGGCTGCTGGTGTGTGCCCTGTGTGGCTGTGGCCCGTGTCCCTGTGGAAGGGGGGTGGGGGTGGCTGGGGCTTAGGAGAGCTTTCTCTGCCCCAGGAGGGGAGGGGTTGGGGAGGAAGGCTCAGACACCCACCAACACACCCTCCCCCAAGGACCTGAACACATCCTCCGTTCCGCGCCCCCCCATGTCCGGAGCCCTCTGGCATCAGGATCAACCACTTCCCATTTGGTTGGGTGGTAGCAGTTTAGTAAGTTGTGTCTGAGAAGGCTGGGAAGGAGGCATCCCCCACCCCCTCTCTGCCCACCAGCTGCAGCCAGGAGACCGCTCCACGGGCCTCCTGGAAGCTGGGCCAGCCCCTCTGGCTCCCCTGGAAACCGTTGCTGGGATTGGAGCCTCCTGGGCCCAGGCCCCTCCCAACACCTCTGCCCCAGTGCAGCTCTCCCCAGAACTAGGTCCCCCCTCGAAGTACCCCCCCCAACCTCATCACTGTGTTCCAGAGCCTGGGAGGGTGAAGGGCTGACAAAGGGAGAGCCAAGAAACAGCCTCTCTGAGAGAGGCCAGCAGGTATCTGAGACGCTCCTCTCTCTCCTTTGAGGTCCCCTTAGTGTTGGAGGCTCCTGGGGCAGTGGGTGAAAAGGAGCTGCCCATGGGAGAGGCAGGAATCCGTTCCTCTAAGTCCTGCTCTTCTGACTCGAGTGATGGTATGGCTCTGGGGGAGCCCTCAGCTGGGACCCACAGCAGACAGCCCTGTCTCAGCCCTGTCTGTGCTTCCAACAAGACCCTCCTCACCTGGCTTGGGCACTGACTAGGGGGCTGAGAATCCTGCTGGTGGGCCCGTGGGCCAGCTCTAGTGTCTGCTGCTCCGTAAGTCCCCACTCTGCCCCCAGCTAGTTTGCTGCTCCCTTCTGGGAGTGCCCAGACACTCTCCCTCAACATCAAAGGTGGTCTGTTGTCTCAGTTCCTCACAGGTCTAAGTGCTCCTGGAGGGCAGGGCTGGCTCATCTGCTGGGAGGGGCTCCTCCCACTTCCCCCCTCGCCAGGGCCCCATGTGGCACTGGACCTGGGACAGCTGGTAAAGGACTCAGGGCTATGGCTGGGTTGGTTGCTGGGGCCCTGTCAGGAGACGGAGCTGGGGGCCCTGGGAGACGGGGCATGACTCATAGCCCTGAGGCCACAGCTGGCAAACTGCCTGTCCCCTGAGCATTGACCTAGACAGGATCATGGGGAGCTGTCCCCAGTCAGGGTCGTCAGGAAGAAGTGCGTCTTCTTACTCTCTCTGCCCGTCCTGATGTTGGCTTTACCTTTCTTTCCTCTTCACCCCTTGTCTCCCAGGGGAGTATGCCGAGGGTGTCAGTGAGAGAGATATCCTGCTCATTCACTCCTGCCGCCAGTGGACAACCGTGACAGCCCATACTCTGGAGGAGGGCCACTACGTCATCGGACCCAAGATTGACATCCCACTGCAGTACCCAGGTGTGCCCATCCAGGGACAGATGACCTAGAGCCACTGGGGGGTGGAGGCAGGAGGGTAGGGGGATGGGGCTTGGGAGAAGCTGTTGCTGATCCCCCTTTGCTTGGAGTCACAGGGCAGAGCGAGGGCCTGGCTGGAACGGGGCAGTTAGGGTCCAGTGGTTTTCATACTGTTCTCGGGAGTCCTGGTTTTCTTGTTGCAAACCTTTGAGTCACATTTTATTTGAAAATAGATTTTAAATGACTGATTAAAAAAATACCCACACTCTCAAATTGCTGTGAATCAAATCTTAACCCCAGTGAGCGATGTGGGGTGTGTACCGCGAGCCGCCTCATGAAGCCTCTTTTGTACAGACCCTCGGAGAGATTGTGGCCAGGATCTTCTCAGTAGCGTGTAACCGGAGTGCTTCAGAAACGAAGGGATGCCTGGCCTGATTATCTGCTGCCTCTGGCCACTATAATCCTGATCTTCCCAAATTTTTTTTTTTTTTATTTATTCGACAGAGAGAGATCACAAGTAGGAAGAGAGGCAGGCAGAGAGAGAGAGGAGGAAGCAGGCTCCCCACCAAGGAAAGAGCCCGACGCGGGGCTCGATCCCAGGACCCCGGGATCATGACCTGAGCCCAAGGCAGAGGCTTTAACCCTCTGAGCCACCCAGGCGCCCCTGATCTTCCCAATTTTTGTGTTAAATTCATTGCTTTCATTGATTGACTTTATAAGTGTTAAAATTTTAGGCTTTTAAGATTATGCTCATGAACTACTTTTGTCTTTTATATATATGATATTGATATCCTCCATCAGATTTTGTTTGAAAAAAGGATTCTGCTGGGAAAGGAAAGCATCGCCCTTGTATTTTACACACGATAAAACGGAGGGTTTAAGAGGGAAGTGACTTGCCCAGGGTCACCTGGCTAGCGGGCAGCAGAGTGTGGGCTAGAACCCAGGAAGATTTGCTCCTGGGCTGGTGCTTCCTTGCACCACCCTGGCAATGCAGGGTCATCGTCACCTGGGTGGGAAGGATGGGAATCTGGCCCCCTCCCAGTGAAGCCCCTGTGGGAGCCCACGATCTCACAGATCCTGTGTGTTAAGCCCATGGCTGCCTTCCAGACACTGAGCTGAGCATTTCCTCATTTTATCCTCATGGTCACCCTGTGAGAAAGTCTTATTCCATTTTAAACTCACATGAGGCTCCAGGAGCTTGCCCCCCACCCCTAGCCCTTCCTGGGTCTCCTCTGAACCAGGGAGATAGGACTAAGACAAAGGCTTCTGCTCTTTACAACAACCCTGAGAAGTTGGTAACCTTCAGAGCCCTCACATCCCATTTAAAAAATGAGAAAACTCTCTCAAGTGTCTTTCTGACCTGGGGTTCTGTCCTGAGCCCTTGAAAAGGCCTGCTTAGAAGCTAGAAACTTCCCAGGCTCGGGATCTATCTGATGTTCGTCTAGGAAGAGGTCCCCGGTCGTCTTCTTGAGAGAAAAAACAAAAATTGGAAAAAGCCCTCACTATCAGAAGAGTGAATTTACTGTCCTATTTCATTTGTGTGATTAAAAATCTGGGAAACCAAGGCACAGCCTCCTAGGGAAGAGGCTTCTAGTGTGGGAGGCTTCTAGCCCTTCCCCTATGTCTTTTGGTGCTTCTGAGTGCATGTGGACGGTGTGGTCATGGGGTGACAGCTGGCCTGCAGGAGAGGCACAACTCCATCAGCATCTTTCCAGTGGGTGGCTCAGTGGGGGAGGGGAGGCCAGGCCCCTTAGGAGCAGGCGGAGTAATGAGGAAGCTGAGTGCACAGCCCAGTTCCTCCTAATGAATTAATAATGGGCTGGGCTGGGGCAGTGGCTGTGGACCTGGGAGGGGCAGGAGGGGTGGTGGCAGGGAGGGGAGGGCAGCCCAGCATGGGGGGAGTCAGGGGGAACCTGGCTGCTTTGAGGTAGCCCCCGCTTCGAAGCTGGGTGGCTCTGGTCAGCACTCTGGGAGCTAAGCCGTATGCTTCCATTTCACAGATGGGAAAACTGAAGCCTACAGAGATTAAATTGTTTGCCTAAGGTCACACAGCTGGTTGGTGCCAGGGATGGGATACAACCAGGTCTGTCCGCCCCCAAGTGTGTGCATTTACCCATCATTATTGGAACGGCTGCCAGGCTCGGGTGCTGGGAGGAGGGGGAGACGAGCAGGGCTGCTTTGGGCTGGATGGGGCGCTGGGCAGCCGCATGCATGTGTTCTAGGAGGGGAGGGCAGGGAGCAGGGGCAGGCTTGCGGGGGTGGGGGTGGTAGAGGGGCAGGTCCCTGGGCCTGAGGGGCCTGCAGGGGGGGCGGGGCGTCTCAGGCAGGGGAAGGCTGGAGAGGAGGCTGCAGGGGGAGTAAAGGCTTCCAGGGGCTAGCGCCTGAGTCCCGGGAGGGCTCCCTTCCTTCCTTCCTCCTGAAGTAATGACCGGTGCCGGGCCCAGGCTGCGGTGGAGGGTGGGGGGGTGCTGGCTACCATGGTTACATCGATCCACCAGCCACATCCTCCCCAGGCTGCAGCCCTGACTGGGCTCCAGCTCTCACCACAGGGGGCAGTGGGCATTTGGCCCCACATGGCTGCTTGGGGTGGGGAGGCTTGTGTGTGTGTGTGGGGGGATGGAGTCCCAGTGAGGGAGGGGCAGCACTCCCCCAACTCCCACCACCTGACCCCTGACCTTCTTTGCCGGGCCGGTCCCCACGACACCCCTGCTGCCCTCAAGGGCTGTGGCACATCTTGGGAGAGCCTCAGAGTGGTTAGGGCAGGACTCCCTTCCCAGCTTTCTCCTGGGCACTCACCCTTCTCTTTCTCCGCTCTCCCTTCTTTCCTGCTTCTAGATGCTCACGGACTCTGTGCTTGGCCCTCTGTGCTTCCTACCCAGCACTGGGGAGGTCTGGGATTCCGGCTGGGTTTTGGGGAATCCAGGATCCCCCACACTGTACACAGAATGGTGTTTGTGTTCGTGCCAGGAGTACAGCTGTGGGCATTTTTCTGCGAAGAGGGTTCCCAGGGGGTTAAGATCTCTGCTCTTCCTCTTTGAGCCGTCTTCCCTCCTCCCGTGGGCTGGTGACCTTCAGTCTGTACTTCTGACCCGGAGTCCCCAAGCCCTGCCCCGGAATGCTCACCGCACCCCCCAACACCCCTGGAGGGCCTCCCTTGGTCCCAGGACTGGCTCCGCCCCACAACATGTCACTTCCCGGTTCCCGGTTTCAGGTAGCAGCTCTGCCAGCTCCATTTTTTTTTTTCTTTTTCTTTCCTGTATTTCAAGTTGTGACTTAAATTTCAGTTTACATACAGTATAATACTAATTTCAGGCGTAGTATTTAGGGATTCATCGCTTACATACAACCCCTGGTGCTCAGGACAAGTGTCCTCCTTAATCCCCGTCACCTGTCTGACCCATTCCCTGCCCACCTCCCTCCAGCAAGCCTCCGTTTGTTGTCTGGCATGAAGCGTCTGTTTTGCCAGCTCCGTTTGTGCTGCGGCTGGTGGCCCGAGTCCTTTCCTCCCCTGCCTCCTCCTCATCCACCACCAGTCTTCCTTCTGCAGACCTCGATGGAGTCTGCTTGATTTCGCTCTTCCCCCAGCTGCTGTCCCGGCCCCCCTGCAGCACGGACACTGGCTGGTTTACGTGACCGGCTGCCCCACTTTATTTACAGAGCTCAACTTGGATCTTGGCATTTCCTTGCTCAAAACACTATAATTGCTTTCATTTATTTTTCTTCCTTCCTTTTCTTTCTTTCCTTCTTTTTGTTCCTTCCTTTCCTTCCTTCCTTCCCTTCCTTCCTTTCGGAGGCTCAGATGACCCTTTATCGAAATACTTTCCTTTCTGGTTCTTAGTTAGTGGCGTATTCTCCTGCACCCCTGTTGTTGCCATCTATGATGTCACAAAGGTGGCAACCATCAACATTGCCACCTACAGACTGGGCAGATCCCAGGATCTCTTAAATGGTTCCAGAGAGTTCTCTGGCTAAAGACGTGTGCCACTTCTGTGAGGCAGTGTTGACAACTCCTCAAAAGTGATGTCTCCACTGTGATTCTGGTCATTCTGCTTCTGTCTCTTCGCGGTTCATTGAGGACTTTGATGATCAGAGCAGAGGCACGAGTTCAATCTGGGCCTTTCCATCCTGAACGGTCAGTGTCACTGTCTTCCTCACCACCGGCCTGTGGGCGAAGTCCTCACTCACCTTGTTTGGAGACAGAACCAGGGGCCCATCTTGTGGGCCCAGCACACGTGGCCCCAACTTCCCCACTGGTGCCCTTCAGATATAAAACTTTGATCTCATTGGGGTTGAACTTAGGCCAAAAAGCCAAGAGCTCATTTTTTCCTGAGTGGAATCCTTCCGCCTTAATCTGGCATTCAGAGCTCTTCATCACGTGGGTGCTACGTCCCCTGCTGTCTTCCCCTTAAGTCCAGGCCACAGGGACTCCCCGCATCGGGCAGCAGTCTGCCCTGGCGACTTGGTCTGGTTCATGCCAGCCCTTCTGTGTGCGTGGTCTGTTCCGTTAAACTCTTCTCATTCCCAAGCTCCCCTCGGGCTGCCAGGCAGGTTGCCTCTAATAAGTCCGTGGTCCTCTGGCTCTCTAGTTCCAGGTCCCCACTCGCCAGCCCTGGGTGCTCACTGTCACGCCCACTCTGTCAGAGTCCCTAGGTTTGCACCCTCTGTCGGGTCTAGCCCAACGTCTGGCGCACAGAGGGTGCTCCATAGCTGTTGGTAGAACAAATACATGCTTGGGCCGTGATGGCAGCAACCCCCAGGAAGACTGTGGAAGCTAAAGAGCCACCTCGTCTCCCCTTGGCCTATTGTCCCCTCACCCGAGATCCCCCTCTGTCTGTGGAAGGTCTGAGAAGAGGTCATCTGTCTGCATGTCTGGGAGTTTCACAGCCTGTCTTTGTGCTCAAGTAGGTGGGCACATAACACGTGTGTGGCCAGTGAGGTGTGACCGTTTACACAAGGCTGTCGGCTTTATGGATTAGCCTCCTCCTTTGAAAGTCCGTGTCTACTGGGGGCCTCCGCCGAGCCAGCCAAAGCCGCTCTGGACTTCAGGCTTGGAAGGCCTCCTCTGCGGGAGGGGATTTTGCTGGGCTCAGTTCAGAGGCCTCTGGGACAGTGCGGCTGGATGTTGGACCAGGGCAGGGTCTGGGAACAGAGCTGGGGCCTGAGCAGTGATTCTGGGGCCTCCAAGGCCTACGGCTGAGCCCCTGGTCTGCCCAGTGCAGCGGTGTGCATGCATTGGCCACCCAAGGTACTGGATGCCAGATCGAGACAGGGCCCCAAATTTCCTGCTCCAGCACCCTCAGATGAGGGCTCAGAGAAGGGAAGGGACTCGTCTAGGGTCAGAGCAAGTCAGAGTGGAGCTGGGACAAAGCCAGAAGCCAGCGTCTCCAGTGCCACAGTGATGCTGGGCTAGAGGCCAGCTCTGTGTGCAAGTGCTCTGCTGCCTCTCTGCATTTGGATTTCTCTGGGCGGGCAGCCGCTAACCTCCTCACCCACCCGCAAGCCCTCCCTGGGGTGCTAGATGCTAAGTCTGTGCTCGCGTTCGCCCTTGAGCCTGCTGACCAGCATCTCCCGCCTCCTGCTAGTGCAAAGCTGCCTTCTTGCCTGCTGGAGTTCCAGCGGGACTGGCTGAGATGAGTGTGGCAGGAAGGGACTAGCAGGCAGGCCTGCCCTAGCAGCCTGTGTTCTCCTTTGCAGGAAAGTTCAAGCTCCTGGAGCAGGCCCGGGATGTGCGGGAGCCAGTGAGGTACTTCAGCAGCGTGGAGGAGGTGGCCAGCGTCTTCCCTGACCGCATCTTTGTGATGGAAGCCATCACCTTCAGTGTCAAGGTCAGTCCTTGCCACACCAGGCAGGGTGCCCCGACGCTGGTTGGAGGGTTGCCCTTAGGCAGAAGGTGTCAGTGTGGCTCCTGGCAGTTCCTTGACAGCATTTGGCCTGATAGGACCGTATCAGGAGAGCTAGGTGAATGACCCTGGCCTGCAGAACTTTCTGGAAAGGGGGTGAGGCAGGAGTAAGTGTGTGTGAAGCATCATGCCCTGACTTGGAGGCCTTCAGGGCAGCCTGTTCTAGCATCCACTGCTGTAGGGGTAGTGGTTGTTGGGGGGGGTGAGGGGGACACAGTAGTGACAGTCCCCCGCTTGTGTACAGATCACCCTTTACTGTTTACCAACCCTTATCCGTCAACTCATTTCTCTTCACAGTAGTCTTGTTGAGTGAGTGGATGGAGCATTATTACTGCCCAAATTGTAAAGATAACGATAATACAAGTTCTCATTTATTGGATATTTCCCCAGTATGTCACTTTACATACAGCAGACCTTTCAAGTGAGTTACTATGGGAGGCAGTGAAGGCCCCAGAGGTAGCTCATTCAAGGCTGCACAGCTGCTCTGGGGCCTCTCCAGGAGGGAAGGCGCATCCCCGACCCCCCAGTCCAGTGGTCTTGATCAGGTTTCAGCCCGGAGAATGCTCGCTCCGCAAAGGGCGGCTTTCCCTGGGGCTCTGGCTAAGGCCTCCCCGCGTCTCTGGGCTCCGCAGGTGGTGTCGGGCGAATTCAGCGAGGACAGCGAGGTGTACAACTTCACGCTGCACGCGGGCGACGAGCTCACCCTCATGGGCCAGGCGGAGATCCTGTGCGCCAAGACCACCAAGGAGCGCTCGCGCTTCACCACGCTGCTGCGCAAGCTGGGCCGGGCCGGGGCGCTGGCCGGGGTGGGCGGCGGCGGCGGTGGCCCCGGGGGTGCGGGGGCCACGGGCGGCAGCACCAGGGCCATCAAGGGCAAGATGCCCTGCCTCATCTGCATGAACCACCGCACCAACGAGAGCCTGAGCCTGCCCTTCCAGTGCCAGGGCCGCTTCAGCACGCGCAGCCCGCTCGAGCTGCAGATGCAGGAGGGAGAGCACACCGTGCGCGCCATCATCGAGCGCGTGCGGCTCCCGGTGAACGTGCTGGTGCCCAGCCGGCCGCCGCGCACCCCCTACGACCTGCACCCGGTGAGGGAGGGCCACTGCTACAAGCTGGTCAGCATCATCTCCAAGACCGTGGTGCTGGGGCTGGCGCTGCGCCGCGAGGGCCCGGCGCCGCTGCACTTCCTGCTGCTCACCGACACGCCGCGCTTCGCGCTGCCGCAGGGCCTGCTGGCCGGGGACCCGCGGGTGGAGCGCCTGGTGCGCGACAGCGCCTCCTACTGCCGCGAGCGCTTTGACCCCGACGAGTACTCCACGGCCGTGCGCGAGGCCCCAGCCGAACTCACCGACGACTGCGCCAGCCCGCGCCGCGCGCGCCTCTGCCTGCCCGCGCCCCCGCGCGCCCCACCCCTTGCGCGCGCCCCCGGCCCGCCCGGCGACGGCGACCAGGAGTACGTGAGCCCGGACTGGGCTGGCGCCCGGGATCCCGCCGCTCCGCCCACGGAGATCCCCTACGAGGAGCTGTGGACGCACCAGGCTGCCGAAGGCCTCTCTGAGGGCCGGATGCGGCCCGCCCCGGGGCCCGACCTTATCTCCTTCGCGGCCCCGGGGCCATCCCGCCTGGAGCCTGAGGCACCGCCGCCTCCCGTCCCCCCCAAGTCCGAGGCGGTGAGTGGCCGCGATGTAGGCGGGAAGGGTGGGAGGCAAGGAGCCGAGCTGGGGGCTCGCTCTCCTGGGGGGACGGAGGTGGCCAGCCAGAGGCAAGTTCTCCTGAGCCCCAGGCTCCAGCCCCTGGAGTGTGTGACGGGATGGGGGGTGGGCAGGAGAAGGGGAGAAGAACAAGGGGAAAGACATAGGAGCATATTTGTAGTAAAGGATGCTAGAGACTGTGGCACTGGAAATTCTGGAGACAAAGATGCTAGTAGGTCTCTAGCTTGAAAGAATTTGGGATGGGCCCTGAAGGTCCCACAGAACAGGAATCCTTTAAGTTGTCCAGTGAAAAGACTGGTCCCATGATGGAATAAATTTAGAAATATGTAGTGATGATTCCTAGCTCACCCCCTCCTCACTTTGGAGCCACAGAACTTTGGTTTATTAAAGGCTCTGAGAAGTCCTGCACCAAGGAACCCTGTTTATGCCTAATGCAGAACTTCCCAACCATACTTGTCCACAGAAATGGACTATAGCTATTAACAGCCCTGAGAGTCCACTTTGAGTATTTGACCTATAAAAAAGGGGTACAGATGGCAGATACTTGTCTTTCCCTTTCTTCTCCCTGTCAATACCACTTTCCTTTCCTTTTTTTTTTTTTTTTAAAGATTTTATTTATTTATTTGACAGCAGAGATCACAAGTAGGCAGAGAGACAGGCAGAGAGAGAGGGGGAAGCAGGCTTCCCACCAAGCAGAGAGCCCGATGCGGGGCTCGATCCCAGGACCCTGGGATCATGAGCCGAGCCGAAGGCAGAGGCTTCAACCTGCTAAACCACCCAGGCGCGCCCCACTTTCCTTTTCCTTAAGGGACTAGGTTGACTAACCTGTTTTGATCTACTTCTGTATTCTCTTACACTCACGATGGATTTCCAAGGCCGTGGGAGATGGTGTATGTGGGCTCTCTCAGAGTGACACAGGCTGGAGAGGCTACCAGGGGTGGGGTGGGTGAGTAGTTGGAGGTAAGGCAAAGGCAGTCTCGTGGCAAAGTGTCAGGCCCAGACACCCTTCTCGCCCAGCTGCTTGGGAAAGGGAGGATTAGGAGAGTCCACTGCTTGGGACAGGGCGTGGAGTCATGGCCTTCTGCTTGCAGGTGAAGGAGGAGTGCCGCCTGCTCAATGCCCCCCCTGTGCCTCCCCGGGGTGGCAATGGTAGCGGCCGGCTCTCGGGCAGCCCCCCGGTGCCCCCGAGGTTCCCCAAGCTGCAGCCTGTCCACTCACCTAGCTCCAGCCTCTCCTACTACTCATCTGGCCTCCAGGATGGGTGAGCCCCTGCCTTCTCTTGGTGCTGGGTCCTCCTGAGGGGGACTGAGGAGGGGAAGGGCCGGGAGAGGGGAGCCAGAGCCAAGGGAGGAAGAGTCCAGGCCTGCCGCTCAGGGCGGATGGGCTGCTGCTTTTCTTTCCACCTTCCTGCTTCAGCTTGTTCCTGACGAGTGGATGGGGCCCTGCTCAGGTTCCCTCCAGCCTGGGATCGGCCACAGGGACTGCTCCTTGTTCTATTAAAGTGTTTATGTAATTCAGTTTAGTCTAATTTTTCCTGGGGTGGGAGAGGCTGGAAGACAGACATGGGCAGTCCCGGGGTGTGGGGGGGGGGTCTTGGGCCTTGGGGGCTGGGGCGCGAGCAGGCATTCCTGAGATCCGAGTGGCAGTCTCTGGCCCGGCAGAGCGGTGTGCTGTGTCCTAGGAGCCTGTGGCGTTTCCCTCTTGCACTGGCTTACCTTTCCGCGTGTGTCTCGCTCTCTGCCCACAGGACAGGTTCCCGCAGCGGCAGCGGCTCTCCGTCCCCGGACGCCTACTCCCTTTATTGCTACCCGTGCACCTGGGGAGACTGCAAGGCGGGCGACTCGTCCAGCCGCCCACCCCCGGGACCCCCGCCCTCGACCACGCAGCCCAGCCAGGCTGCCCGGGCCCTTGCAGAGCCTCTGAGCAGTCGAGCCACCTCCTTCCTGGGGGCTGACCCCCCCGTTCAGGCGTACCACAGCTGCCCGCCTCTGCTCAAGCCCTCTCACCCCCAGAAACGCTTTGCTCCATTCGGAGCTCTCAACCCCTTTTCGGGGCCTGTCTACTCCTCAGGCCCTTCAGCGGCCTCCTCTTCTGGGCCCACCACCAACTCGGGTCCCCTGGCTACCTCCAGCCCTGCCTTTTCTCCAGGCCCAGGATCCCCAGGCCAGGCCTATTCAGCTGCTCCCCCCTCGTGCCCCACCTCGTCGTCCTCTTCCTCTGAGTGGCAGGAGCCAGCCCAGGAGTCCTTTGATCCCTTCGAGCTGCGCCAGGGCAGTTCCCCAGAGCCCGAGCTGTTGCGCTGTCAGGAGCCCAGAGCGGTGGGGGCTCCCTGTCTTTTGCCACTTGGACCCCCCAAGGCCTTTGAACCGGAAGGTTTGGTGCTGCGGCAGGTCCCCACCCCGCTGTCACCGGTGGGCCTGCAGGGGCCTGAGGCAGGCGGAGCACGGCTCCTTCTGCCCCAGGGGCGCCTGGAAGGGCCTCCTGCCAGTCCCCGGGAGGGGGCTGCAGGCTGGGGAGGCCGGGATGCTTCCTCCTGGCAGCCCCCTGCTGACCTGTCTGCGCTCTCCCTGGAAGAAGTCTCTCGAAGTCTGCGTTTCATCGGTCTCTCGGAGGACGTGGTGAGCTTCTTTGCCCGAGAACGCATTGATGGCAGCATCTTCGTGCAGCTCAGCGAGGACATCCTGGCCGATGACTTCCATCTCACGAAGCTGCAGGTCAAGAAGATCATGCAGTTCATCAAAGGCTGGCGACCCAAGATCTGAGCGTCCCGGCTCGCGGCCGCACAGCTGGGGACGCTGGCGTGGAGGCCACGGGGGTTAGCCACGGGTCCGCGGGGGGGGACAGTGGGCCCAGAGCAGGTCCTCCTGTAAGGAGAGTCCGTGCCAAGACTGAGGCAGCCAGGCGGCCCCTCTGAGGGAATCCAGGGGAGACACACTAGGAAATGGGGGCATCTGGCCTTTGTGCTGAGAGGCACCGGTGTGTAGCTGGGCCCGGGGACACATTGCTGGGATTCCCACGGTGGCAGGGTGGGGTGTCCGAAGCTGGCCGGCATGGTGACCTGACATCCTCCCCCGCCCTTGTGGAGAGCGTCAGACATCTTGCACTTCTCAAGCTTGTAGGTTCAGGTTAGAGACAAGGGCAGACGGGCCATCATTTAAGCACAAATTCCCCAAGTGCCCCCCTCCCCCACCGTGCTCTGTGGGCTTTTGGCCTTGGTCGCCCCAGAGTCTGGGGGCCCTTCCTTTCCCCTTGTGTGAACTCGGGCCCTGGCCCCGAGCACAGGTGTGTCAAGCCTGTGCCGCTGTGCCTCAAGGCTCTGGCTCAGGGCGCCGGTTGGCGGGGAGGACTCCGGAAGAGCACAGCTCTGCCGCTGACCCGCTCACCTAGCTAGGGAGGCCGATGTTCCAGACTTCTCTAGCGCCCCCGCTGCTGCCTTCCGTCCTGCGAGTTGGGTCCGGTCTGAGGTTCTCACTCCCCGGAGAAGCGGGTAGCTTGAGGTCAGCGGCTCCTGGATTGAAGCGGCAAGTGGCCTCCAAGCACTCCCACTTCTGCCCGGCTCCTGCCCCCCTCGCTGGACTCCTGCAAACATCTGGTGTCCTTCTCTGGTCTGTCACTGGCACAGGTGGGATGGTTGGGAAAGAGAAAGCACCGTGGTTTGGGAAAACCGGCTTTCTCCCTGCTCCTGGAGCCCAGGCCTCCTGCGCTTGTGCCTATGCCTGTCAGGTCTCTGGGGCCTGGATCCGGGCATGGCAATCTGCTGGCACCGGGAGCAGGCTGGCCGCTGTGTCCAACCATCCGGCCCCCCCCACCCCCCACTCTCCTGGTCCCCCTCCCCCCACCCTCGGGGCTGCACTAACTCTCCTCACGCCACTAGCGGCAGGCCCCAGCCGGACCAGCCTTCTCTTCTGCCTTACCTAGCCTACCTACCTAGATATTTATTTGCTCCATTTTCCTCTGAACTATAGTGAGGCCACGCTGGTGCTCGCGCCCCGAGCAGTCGCCTCCGCTCCGGGCCAAGGGGAGTCCGGAAGTAGAGCACACACGCTGTTGCTGAAGCATCGGGCTTCCCGGCCGATCACTCTGTGAATCCTCATGGACTTGTGAAATAAATGCTAGAGCACTGAACAGGAGTCAGGGGGCAACTCTGGGTGTTGACCCTCTTCCTCTGGAGGGCCCAGGGAACCGGCAGGTACAAGGCATGGGCCTCCAGGCAGGGGAGGACTTTGGAGTGGGGTGTGCACGTGGCCCACTCCTGGGTTCCCTTCCGAAAGCCCCTCCTCAGCCCCTCCCCTACAAGAACCTTCCATCTCCCACCAGCATTTCAACGGAATTCCTAGTGCTGCTGAGTGGAAAGCTCCCTGTCCTCAGCCCGGGCCCAAGTTTAAGTTCCTGCACTGACCAGATGCCCACCCGACGCCCTCCCAGAGCCCCCATTTAGAATCCCGTTAATGGCTCTGCGGAGAGCATCCGTTCCCTATTTCCTACTGGTCATCTGAAAATCCCAGCACACAGGTGGCTCGGGTTTTGGGTCTGGCTTCGAAGCACCCGTGAGTGGTCCGTGGAATCGGCGCGAGGCTCTCTGTCCACGCGTCCCAGCAAAGCTGGCGCCAGGGGTCGGCGAGGCGCCGGCACGTGGAGCAGAGGCAGGAGCAGTGGGTCACGGCGTGCTGGGACTTCGGTTCCGCACATGTGCAGCGTGGGCCCCTCCACCGGACTGGGCAGGAGCCCCGAGGCTGCTTCCACACAGTGGGGGCTGCTGCCGCCGGCACAGGAGCAGAGGGACTCCCCGGCCCAGAGGGCACCGGGAGGGCGGAGCGCCGGTGGGTTGGCTCAGCACTCCTCGAATAGCTCACCATGTGGTTTCTGGTGATCCATCCATCCCTCCGTGCTCCGGGCCAGCCAAGACGAGCAGGATCTACTGGCCGGGAAAATAGTCTCTCCTCTGCTTCACTCCAGTGTTAACATCCCGAGAGCACATGAGTTCCACTGTGAAAAGCACTGGGTGCCATGGTGCTACGAGGCATTACAGTTTGGGGAAGGAGGTCTCTTACACCCTGGCCTCCGAGCCTGTGGCACTTCGCCTGCTCCGTTCAGTCAGGCCTGTCTCCCACAGCAAGCGGAAGCCTGCTGGAGCGGGTCTATACAGCCAGGTTCCGAAGGCTTTAGTGTGTTAAGTCCCCCTTTATCATCACAGTCGCTCTCTCAAGGTGCTGCTAGAACTCTCCCACCACATTCACACCCCAAAAGCCCAGGGCTTTAGTCTAGATCCTTGAAGGGAGGGGCTTAACCCAGAAAGACAAAAGAAGAAAAAGGGAGGCAGAGAGGCTGTTAAGAGTTGGCTTTTATTGTTCTCGTGTACGTGGCTGGGTGCAGAACTGCCCGGGTCACCCCCGGCCACCCCCGGCCCTGGCGGAGCCGGCAGCAGGATGGCTCTGGAGACACCAGCCCTTGGGGTGGCTCACGGGCTCCTCCTGGCATGAAGTGCAAACATTCACAGCCAGACTTCACCGGGAGGGAGACTCGGTCCTAGCTGAAGGCACTTTAATCAGGGCACACACCCAGGGCCAGAGCTCGCCTGCCTTCTGGTGACGCCGACGCAGCCAGACGCCCCTCTGCCGGCAGCTGGGTGAGGGGCCGGGGAGGAGGGCCGAGGGCCCGCTCACTGGTAGAACTTCTTGTTAGGGCTGTTAGCGTGGTCGATGAGCAGCTGGCACGGGGTGAACGGTTTTCCGTAGGCGGCCTCATACCTCCTGAGCTGGTCCACTACCTTCTGAGCACCGTACAGATCCACGAAGCGGAAGGGCCCTAAAAGGAAAAACAGGACCTGCTGCAGGAGACAGGACGAGCTCTCGGACCGAACAAGCTGCCTGCCCAACCCGCAAGACCAACCTCCGAGACACGGGGGAAAGCCGAGCCCGAAGACCGCGCCGATGTCTCCCTCTGTGGGTGTGGCCAGGATCCCTTCCTGCAGGCACATGACCGCCTCGTTCACAAATCTGGTCACCAGGCGGTAGTGGATGTCTTCGTCAGAGGAGCTGCCGACAGGGAGACACTCAGGTAGATGAAGTACATGAAGCGTCCTGGGGAGGGACGCAGGAGCTGCGGCTGCAGAAGCGAATGGCGCTCCCAGGGCCAGCCAGTCCGCAGCTCGCAATGGTGCAGGGACGAGCCCGCGGGAGGCCAGCTCTGCTCCTGGAAAAGGTGGCTCAGAGCTCTTTGGCCTAAGTAACCAGAGGCTGGCAGCTAGCGCAGGGCTGGGCAGAGCAGACAGAATCTCCTGCCACCAGCAGCTGTCAGTTACGAATGACAGAGAGGGTCTGGCGGGGTGAGGGCCCAGGATGCCAGGTTTTCTAGTTGCCCTCTAGACCTTCAGAGGGAAGGCTGGAGCAGGGGTCTTTCCAAGGCTCAGCTGTAGTCCTGACCTGATGCTGGGCAGAAAATGAGATGGCATGTGGAAGAGCAAAAGGAGTCTGGTCAGTTAAGGGGATTAGCACAGGAAAGCTGGAAGAGGGCTGAGCAGCTCTGGGCTGAAGAGAAACAGGTCTCCACGCTATTAGCTACTGAACTTAACTCACACTTCAGACTTCGGGGGCACCTTCAGACTTGCTAAAATGCCATCCATGTCAGAATTCACATTCTTGTTCTTCACACCCTCCTGGTAGATGTAAAAGCCCTTCCCAGACTTGCGACCTAAAAGAAGCCAGAGAGGGGAGAATGATGGAATCTCAGAGCCCAGGCCTGCGGATTCTCTTCTCTTCTCTCCTAGTCTGATGTACGGCTCCAGCCTCTCAACTGTATCCCTGAATGTGTCTGTCTAGCTAACCCTAGAAATTTTGCATTTGTCCGCAAAGCTGGCAAAGAGAGAAAAATGATCTTGTGTTTCTTGGGGCTTGCAAGTCTGTGGATGCGGGTGGGAAAGGGCACTTGGGTGAGCTTTCTTTCCAGCCATTATCCAACACCAGAGCCTAGTAGACGCCCCGGTCCTAGGGTTGCTTCTGCTGCTCCTTTGCCGAGACAGAAAGCCACCTCTGGCAGGCCTCAACCATGTTCTCTGTGCTCAGAGGGGTCATCTCCTCCACACAGGTGGCCAGACAGCACGGTAAAGCCTGGGGGCCGAGTCTGCTCCCGCAGGATCGCAGGTGTGTGAGAGGCCTTGGGCCAGATGAAAATGCCTGGCTTGCACACCCTGGGCAATGGCAGGGCCTCAGGCCAGGGTTGTTATGCAATCATTTAAAAAACTCCCCCTGATGTGGGCTCTGTGTTTAGGAAAGACTCTCGCCCACGGGCCTTCTGTAACCGTGTGTCTCAGGAAACTCTGCTCTCAGGGTATTAGTTTTCTCTGAGGCTACTCACCCAGGAAGCCCCTGGACACCATCTGCTTCAGCAGTTCTACGCTCCCACCTCCAAACCGCTCCCCGAAGGCTTTGTTCAGATCTTCTGACACATGTTTTGCTACATCCACACCCACTTCATCGACCAGTGTGGCAGCACCCACAGGAAAGCCAAAGCTTGTGGTGAGGGAATCCAGCTTCTTAGGCTCAACTCCTTCCTGAGTGGGAGGTAAGCAGGGACCTCAGAGGAGGAAGGCATTCCAGCCCCTCCCCCAAGGGCTCCCCACGCTGGCCCTCTGGCACAGGGCCGGTCCGACACCTGCTTCTCTCCAGGGTGCCACCTGGCCGTCCCACTCAGGGAAAGCAAAGGAGGTTTGGGAGCCACCGGGGGAAAGTCCGGGCCTTCTCTAACCCACAGCACTTTAAGGCCT